TAAATACAACTTATTAAAGCTCCATGTTTGAATTCGTGTAACTAAATGCGGATAAACATAATCAAATATAAGATAAACATCTCATTTTAAAATATAAAAATCTAAAATATAATTAGGATAATCTTTGAGATATAACAAAATAATTAATTATTATCTTTATAAAAAATTATATTATTAAACCAAAAAAAAAAAAAAAAAATTAAAGAAATACACAAAAAACGAGAAATTTTAAATAATTAATTTGGTACTAAATATTTGTTTTTCTAGTTTTTTATGATATATTTTCGTATTTATATTTTATTTAAAAATAGAAACATTATAGCTTTCTTAAAACCACATAAAACTGTATTATAACATGGACTGAGACAAAAAAACAAAATATTAAAATTGAGATGTATCTCGCTGCATTGTACGGGTACCCTTCTAGTGTGTGTGTGTATATATATATATGACATTACTGGATAATATATAAATATGAGATACAATATTTATATTTTCGTATAAATACTCTTATTATATATGTCTATACTATATTTAAATAATATGCATCAATAAACAATACTTCACGCATAAAAAATGATTTTTAAGAGTTTTTGTCCAATGCTTTATAATATAGTATTAATAAATATTATATACTTCAATTTTTTTTTGGCAAGAATTGTAACACATTGCATTGCATTGCATGTGGTACAAGATTCCACAATGGTTGTCCTAATAATTATGCTATAAAAAATGGGTAAAGATGGTCAAAATATATTTGTTGGACAAAAACGTAAATAAATATAAACTACAAGGGTAATCCTGGAATGGAGATTCTTTTATAAACCTTGGATTTGCTCCTCTCTCCCTTTCTCACTTGTGTGGAGGAAAACAGAACTCAGAAAAACTTTGCGACTGCGAAGAAGATCAAGATGGCTCTTCGAATCAGTCCCGTCACCTTGCAATCGGAGAGGTATCGTTCATTTTCCGTAACTAAAACGGCCAATCTCAGATCCCCCAAATTCGCCATGGCTTCCACCCTGGGATCTTCGACTCCGAAGTGAGTATCATTTCGTGTTGTTTTTTCTATGAAATCGGTTTGTTCGTTTAATCTTTTGATTTCGTACATGACTTGTATTGTTAATTTGCTGTTGATACGGAACTAATGATTTAATTCGTTAGGATACGTTTCGGAGTGGGAGATTTCCGAGTAGTAGATTCAAAGTGGCTGATATGATAATTTGATATTTGTGATTTCGATTGGGTTTTGGGGTGATATATGCGTACATTTCTTTATCCCGATGCATTGGAAATTGGAGAATAGTATTATTTTCTAGTCATTTTCATCTGTCGATTTCTCGCGTTTGGATTTGGATTTGGATTATATGGTTGTATTTTGCAATTAGGTGAAGATGTATGAGTGGCTCGAAATGTCACAATTGAAACCTATTAATTACCAAATTCAAATTCAAACTCGAATATTGATGTTTTCATTTTTATATCCAAAATGTTTATGTTTCAGTAAAAAAAATTCTTTTTATAATTTAAGGCTCTAATCAAAATTTCCCCAACCAAGAATGCCTGATTTTTTTTTGTGCGTGTGTGTATTAATTTGGTCCCTTTTGAAATTTGAGTTTCTTTTAAAGATTTATATGGTTGGCTTGCCTTACTCAGTTGTCTAGCTGTCCATAATGTCTTCTTCTGTCATTGACTGGATATTCCTTTGGGTATTGGTATTTATATAATGTTTCAGGGGTTTCTGATTGAGCTACAAATGGTTTGCCTGATTAGATAAATTGGTCTTTTGTTTTGCTTTATCTGTATTTATCTCTCTTTTATGGTTGTTCTATAATGTAAATTCCTTCTCTGTACAAATGAGTTTGAGTGTCCTTCCGGTAACGTAATTGAAATCGCTGCGATAAAGGAATTACAGTTGCTTTATTTTGGTCATAATTCATCATTTCATCATTGAAACAGTTACAGTTACTTGATCGAGGTGTGTTTTAATCCTCAAGATTTTTCTGTACAACCTGGTTACTTACTAGTTTACTTGTAATTGTTTCATCCAAGTTATGTAGTTTATTATGCTTCTCAGTTTTTGCCATCCTTTTACCTTGCTAATCCGTAAATAAATAGTTACTGTATGCATCTTTGTAATGTGGCTGGATTTTTATATCTGATATTTACTGGATTTCTGTAAATAACTGGTGAATTTATTCTTCAGATACATATTAAAGTTGTTTCATGTGGTATTGTTATTTTATTTGATTGATCATAGCCTTCTCCAAATGCATCACTGTTTTTTTGCCCTGGTATACTTTATTTTAATCATTGTTTTTAGTTTTTCTTCTACACAATCTCTGTTCCTATTATTTAGATTGGTAGTGTATGTTTGGATTTTTGTAGATTGTTGCTCTTGGTAGTTAAATCAGCCAGCTACCACCTAGCAGCCATCTAATAAGCCAAATTGTTGATAGGCCTGTCTTCACCTGTTAATTTTTTGTGAACTCATTTAATTAATGTTATTTGCACATTCTGCTTTCTCTTTAATAATTTCTTGCTCAGTGCTTCTTTATTACTTGATTGTATTTGATTTGCTTCAGTTCTATATCTGTTCATTTGAGTTTAGATTGTTCACTTGCAGACTAAAGTGGTTTAACCAGTAGTTTGGGCTTTCATTTCTTATTTTTATTTGATGAATGTAGCACACTTGGCTAGTATTATGTACCTGTGAAAATATTGCAATAGATTGCGAGTATCCAACTCTGCAGAAGTGTTCTTCAGATTCCTTTCAGTGGTGCAACCAATAATTCATCCCAAATGTATCCCTCAAAGATAATACATTTATGAGATTCTTAATTTATCTGGACTATGCCCATTCAGTGTTTACCATCCATACACCAGAAAAGTGAGAGGAAGCTTCTTTTGGTTCCACAAGTTACTTTTCACTAACTTTTTCTTAGCATTGAGTAAATTTCCATCCATACACTGCATGATTTTCAAGTACATAGGGAAAAACATTTTTTTGTGCTTAATAGACCTTCAGTCTTGATAGGTTGTGACTACATATATAACATTTAGGTAGATCATCACAACAACTTTACTTACAACAAGCATTTTTTTCAAAACTAGTTTTTTCTTAATAAATATCTTATCTAAAGTAGTTGGGTAGCCTTAAAATGGGACACACCGTAGATTATAAAGAGGTGAATGCCCTAGGGCTCTCTTCTTAATGATCTCTTGATAAAAGTGTCCTCTTTTTTAACAGTGCATCCAAACATCCATGTTGGACTCGTAAGACTATCTCAAGCAGTGTGATCTGAGCTTCTTTTCACTTATTCCCACCCTCAATTTTTTTTCCACATATCATCAGTTATGGCCATATTATTGTGTGGTAATGCTTCCACCTTAACAACTCATCTTGTGTGCATGCTATCTCTTGGTGCCAGAACATGTTACTCATTCACTGTAGCATGTTTCACTACTGTCCTATAGAATTTATCTTTCATGTTCAAAAGAAGTTTCTGATCGCATAAAGTCTCCCTACACTCGCACCATATCATTCATCCCACTCTTATCTTATGACTAACATCCTCATGAAGGTAGACATCAGATGTTCTTTTTATGAGATTGCAGTAAAGTTCACTTGCCAAATATCTTGAATTTTATTTTATTTTGTTGGGTTTAATGAGTATTTCTCAGTGCCCTTTGTAACCTAAGCTTGTGGAGTGCTTATGATCGTCTCTCTACTGGTCATATGACAAGCACTGCAATTTGTTAATGTGGCAACTTGTTGAGCATTCCGATCAGATCATATGTGATGCCTCTCTTCCTAGCGAGACTACAGTCTGACATATTCTTGATTGCCAGAAACAGAGGCATGGCAAGTTAATCCCATCGAAAGCAGTAGAATGCTGTGGAACCATGATGAGGGTTGTTGTGGAGTTTAGCAACTTTAGCTGTGATTCAGGAAAATAGTGGAAACTTAGCTTGGACAAAGTGTATTGTTCTTGTCACAGCAAGGACACCAGAAACACAAAGTCAATTAGACCCAGATCTCATAACAACCTGTTGCTGTTATATATGGTTTTGGTTCTTAATAACCAGTGGTTTGATATTGCATGAAGCTATACCCCAACTGTTACTTTTAAACTTATATTCACTTTCTTAGTGGCAAATATGTAAATTTAATTCTCTTTTTGGGTATCTTTCCCATTCTTACACAGGGTTGAAAATACCAAGAAGCCTTTTACCCCTCCACGAGAGGTTCATGTTCAGGTGACACACTCCATGCCACCACAAAAGATAGAGATTTTCAAATCCATAGAGGGTTGGGCTGAGGAGAACATATTGGTTCACCTAAAGCCTGTGGAGAAATGTTGGCAAGCACAGGATTTCTTGCCGGATCCTGCATCTGAAGGATTTGATGAACAAGTCAAGGAACTACGAGCGAGAGCAAAGGAGATTCCTGATGATTACTTTGTTGTTTTGGTTGGAGATATGATTACAGAAGAAGCCCTACCTACCTACCAAACAATGCTTAATACGCTAGATGGTGTACGGGATGAGACTGGGGCTAGCCTTACACCTTGGGCTGTTTGGACTAGGGCTTGGACGGCTGAAGAAAACAGGCATGGTGATCTTCTCCACACTTATCTCTACCTTTCTGGGCGGGTAGACATGAGGCAGATACAGAAGACAATTCAGTATCTCATTGGGTCAGGAATGGTAAGTTTTTCCTTCCCCTTCTTGAAAGCGGTAGGAAAAGAACACATGTATTCATTTCATCGGGTCCGTAATTCTATTCATGGGAGATGAGCTAGTAACTCATTACCTTAATGCAGAGCTTTGCATAAATCATCGCTAAACTAGAATGTGGCATTCACACTTCAACAATCTATTCTTTAAATGTTAGCGTGAGAACTACATCCATCGTAACATAACTTCTGTCTCTTAGTGAAGTCACAACCTCTTATATCAACTGTGTTGTCATATTTCATCATGATAACTTGTGCTTTCTCATGATAAGTTCTTTTTCCTTGAAGTTATCACATTTAGGGTGCGTTTGTTAAGCGTAGGGGAGGGGAGTAGACAGGACTGGACTGGACGGGAGAGGGAGTGAGACAAGTTTTTGCATGGGCAGTTTAGTAATTTACCGATCTTGTTCCATCTTCCGATTTTTGTTTCCACCAATCTTGGTGGGACGGGAAAAAGAAGCATTTTTGCCCCACTCGGTCATTTCCAATGCCGGTCTAATTATTGCACCAAACGTTAGCCAACAAGTTTTTCTTGTCCTGTCTTGTACTGTCCCGCGTACCAAATGTACTCTTAGTCTTTTCTTTTCATCTTTGATGGCTACTTTTCACTTCATTATAAAGATGTTTTAAGGGTTCCTAAAATTCTGTAGCCTTGTTTGTACCTGATTTCTTTGTCTATGATTGGTATCATCAAGTCGTGATATTAATTTCTGTTTGTTCTGCATCCGTTCAGGATCCGCGTACTGAAAACAGTCCCTACCTTGGGTTCATCTACACGTCATTTCAAGAGCGTGCCACATTTGTTTCTCATGGAAACACCGCCAGGCACGCAAAGGAGCACGGAGATGTGAAGCTGGCGCAGATTTGTGGTATAATCGCAGCAGATGAAAAGCGTCATGAAACCGCCTACACAAAGATAGTCGAAAAGCTATTCGAGATCGATCCTGATGGCACTGTTCTTGCTTTTGCTGACATGATGAGGAAAAAGATCTCCATGCCTGCACACTTGATGTATGATGGGCGTGATGACGACCTCTTTGAACATTTCTCGGCGGTTGCCCAAAGACTTGGTGTCTACACCGCCAAAGACTACGCCGACATACTGGAATTTCTGGTCGGGCGGTGGAAAGTGGCGGATTTAACCGGTCTATCTGGAGAAGGACGTAAAGCTCAAGATTATGTTTGCGGGTTGCCACCAAGAATCAGAAGGCTGGAGGAGAGAGCTCAAGGGCGGGCAAAGGAAGGACCCGTCGTTCCATTCAGCTGGATTTTCGATAGACAGGTGAAGCTCTGAAAGAAAAGAAGGAGCAGTAAGTTCTGTTTCTGTTGGTTTATGGTAGAGGTTAAACTATTTTAGATGTCTGTTTCGTGTAGTGTGTGTTTTTTTCTCTTGAATCTGGTACCAGTGTCGTTGAGTTTGCGTTTGTAAACTTGTGTCTATGGACATATTATAGAACTTGTTATGCCAATTTTGATGATGATATTTATCGTCCCCCGCGGTGTTTCTAATCGTTTAAACCGTTGGTAGCGTTAGTTTCGAACGCTACTTTGTGTGGGATTTACCGTGTTCGGTTTGTAGGATTTTGAATTATATTTTTTTATAAATAATTTATAAAAACAAATGTTTTAAACATATTTTAGACAAATGGGATTTACGATAATTTTTTTTAAACAAATGGGATTTACGATAATTTTTTTTATTAACCTGGATATCCAATCCACTATGCGAGCCGACCAATCCAGAAATATTAAAGAGAAAAAAAATTCTCCGAAAATAAAAAACCAGAAAGAAAATATAGTGTACCTGTATAAACCAAGTCGACCCACAAGTTGTATTTAATTCATTGTACTGAAAGAAAAGTTGCATTTAATTCATCGACTCATATTTCTCTCGTTTTTTAAATGTTTCTTATTCTCAAGTTTGATTTAACATATAAATTAATAAAAACATTTAAATATTAATCAAATAATACAAAAACTTATTCTAAATGAACCATCATGACATGTTATTTGAAAAACTGATTTTGAGAGATTTTTTAAGTTTTTTTGGTTGATTTTGAAGGATTTTTTTGGTTTTTTCAAGAGAATTTTTCGATTTTTTTGATTGATTTCAACACATGTGCACCTTTAACCCTTCAAAAACTCTAATATCTCGGAACACACCACAGACTGTATCAGGTGCACCTTACGTAACAAAAAAAAACGTCTTTTCACGAATTAAGGTTAAGCGGTAGACGAGATCCCGCTCCCGTCAAAATAGGTCCACCCCTGCTTCTTACCACCTCGTGCTCGTTCCATGGTAAGAGACATACGAACTTCTTACTAGAATCAGAGCTATGTTACCCATTATACCCTCTTTTTTCACACAAAAATAGGTCTCCTACTTCAAAAAGGGAAATGAAAACCTGACACTAGGGGTCGTTTACCAAACACTTATCCGGTAAGTGCTTATTGGAAAATTTTAACACTATTATTTACTTAATGGGTAAGATTTTAGTCCACCAAAACGACATTGTATGCAACAATTTACCCGGTAAGCGCTTACCGTGGTAAGAGTCGTCAGCCTCACTTACTGGCTAAGACTTTTGGTCTTTGTCTCGCTCTTACCAGGTAAGATTCTTGGTCTTTACCATATTCATCCGGTGAGATAATGTTAATTGGTAAAGTGAATGCCACATGGTCATTGTGGATTTTTCTGGTTACTCTTTAGGGTTCTTAAGATTAGTTAAGATATGTGCATGCTAGCTCAGATACCCAGAGTTAAAAAAAATGTCTGCCACCATTTTTTGCATTTGTTGCACTCTTGAAATTTGATGATCTGATATAAAAACATCTAATCTGTCAACTTGTTATGTCAATAATGTGAATTTTAGATTCAGTTATCTTAGACATATATTCAAATAAATCTGATTTAACACATGTTTAAAAAATAAAAGTTCTGCTTTAAAAAAAAGATACTTATTCGGTTAGATCAACGTTCAACTTTGGAATAGTCACTTATACATGACTGTTTTAGAATATTTATACAGTTAGATTAACGTTTAACTGAATTTAAAGGTTACGTACGCTTTCGAATAGTCACCTTATTTGACTGGGGCCGTTTAATAAATGCTTACTCGAGTAAGTGCTTATCAAGTCACATTTCTTTACCAAATAAATATGGCAAGAACAAAGAATCTTACCTGGTTAGAGCGAAGACAAGGATCGAGAATCTTACCCGGTAAGTGATATCGACAACTCTTACCAAAGTTAGTGCTTATCGGGTAAATTGTTACATATGATGTCGTTTTAGTAGACTAAAATTTTATCCAGTAAGTAAGCGATAGAATTAAATTCTATCGTTAAGCACTTACCGGGTAAGTATTTAGGTAAACGGCTCTTACTTTTTTGAACTGTTAAAATTTCAGAAATTATTCACGTTTTAAAGTTTTGTCTTTTGGAGGGAAGGTATCTGACTTCTGATGGTGTCTGAGAAATTCTTTTTCTTGGGTGTCTTATTTAAGATAATAATCAATAAATTTTCTATAATTTTTAAAAAATAAATAATTAAAAATATTAAGTTTAATTTTAATTAATTTTTTTATTTTTATAAATTTTAACATCAATTATCTATACTATATTATAAAGCATTTGACAAAAACTCTTAAAAATCATTTTTTATGCATGAGGTATTGTATATTGATGCATATTACTTAAAATTCAAGATTACAAGTAAATTATGCATAAATACAACTTATTAAAGCTCCATGTTTGAATTCGTGTAACTAACTGCGGATAAACATAATCAAATAGAGGATAAACATCTCATTTTAAAATATAAAAAATGTAAAATATAATTAGGATAATTATCGAGTTCTAACAAAATAATTAATTATTATCTTTTTAAGAAAATTGTATTATTAAAACAAATAAAAATTACTTCGTTATTGAACTTAAATTAAATTATAAAAAAATTGAATTAAAAAATTACACAAAAAATAGGAATTTTAAATAATTAATTTGATATTAATATCGATATATATTTTTGTCAAAATTTATAATATCTTCAAGTTTATATTTTATTCAAAAATAAAAGTATCATCGTTTTTTCAAAAGCACATAAGACCATACTATAACATCAACTGAGATAAAAAAATAAAATAAAATATTAAAATCAAAATATATCTTGTTACATTATGCGAGTACCCTTCTAGTATTATTAAAATATGTTATAATTATACACTCCTAATATATTTTTTCCTTTAAAAAATTACATGAAATAACAATAATGCAATCTTATCACTTTCCTCTACTCACATTAAATCATAAAGAATTCTCTGAACTTAAAAAAGTGTTTGGTTAGAGGTATTAAACAGTAATCATTGAGAATGAAAATAAAAGAAACTGTTTAGTTTTCTATAATATAATGAGTTCATTCCTCCAGAAGCCTAATTTTTTTTTTCCTGGTTAAATTAGGAGAATACAAATTCATTATCATTTTCATTTCTTAGCATTTTTATTCCCATTTCCTTTTTGTTTTCTTTATTAGAATAATAAAGAGGCTCTATTTTAATAAAATAAAAAACAAAAACTCCATTAATATTATTTTAGAACATATGTCTGTCTCTTAGAGATTCTTAACAATTTATTGTGATAGATACACATATTTTTATAGTTAACAACTTAATAAGCTTAACATGACTCACATCTTGGTTCGGTCACTTATACATGACTGTTTGATAATGATTAATGATATAAAAAGTAGAGTTGTAAACGAACCGAACAAACACGTACAGTAAATGAATGAAATTTTTTGTGTTCATGTTCGTTTGTTAAGAAAATGTGCTTGCTCGTTGGTTAAAAATGTAAACGAACGAAGATGAATAAACATAAAAGAACATAAACGAGCAAACAAATGAACAAGAAACAATCACCATTACTCGTAATTTCGTTTCTAAAAATAACATTAAAATGAAAAACCGGTATTTTGGAGAAAAAAAGAAATTCTAAAAAGCTACTGTAATTAATAATTTTATATATTATGTCATAGTATTAAATATTTATATATATAAAGAAACATAAATGAACGAATATTAATGAAAATAAGTAAACAAACATTCATGAACGTAACTGATCGAATAAGACTATTGTCAATGTTCGTTCATTTAACTAAACGAACAAAAAATATGATCTTGTTCATTCATTTATTTAATAAGCGATCTTTCTGCTGAACGGTTCATGAAAAATTCGATTCACTTACAGCCCTAATAGTGTTAAATTTTACCTGTAAACGTCTACCGAGTAAGTGTTTGGTAAACGGCCTCTTAGTCTTTGTGGTTTACAATTCTTTACTATTTTTTAAACGTAGGTTTTAATCCAGACACAAAAATAGCAAATAATTGCAAACCATAGGGATAAAAATCACAATTTCTAAACCACAGGGACTAAACTGTGATTTACTCAAAAAAGTAAGGGTGCGTTATTCAATTACTTAAACGTTTAGGGTTATTTTTGAAACGTTTTTCCCTTTCTCTCCACGCCGCTTTGTTCTCTTTATTGGAACTGATCGATCGTCTTCTTTCTCCCCGTACCACCATAACCGTCGCATATCTTTCCGGCAGCTTCATCCTATCGACTTCTGGATCTCGGCAGCTTCATAATTTGTAAGTTTCTATAGTTTTGATCTTTCTGTTAACTCTACGACGATTAACAGCACTGACCTAAGAAAACGAGACTGCGTCTAATCCGAAACTCAATTACATCTCGCATAATTTATATTTCATTCGGTGTTTTAGCGTATTGTACTGTCAATTTATTGTTTGAGCTTCGTCTAGGATATAGAACAAGTTTAGCGGGAAGTCGATGACGAATAAAATGCCCTAATATGATATTATTCTAATCAGTAGCAGATGCAAAGTGAAATTGAGTTAGGTTTACAAAGTGACAATGAATTACTGTTCCTGAATTGCTAATAATAAATGTTCAGTTTCCAAATTTTCAAATTTAAGAGGTCCTAGTGTAAAGGTCAAATTAATCGAGGAAGCCACATTCTGAAAGCCTATGTAGTGGGTGCAGGTGCTATCGTCTTCAAGCTGCTAAGAGCATCTCCAATGGGAAGTTTTTGTAAGCAAAAAGTGTAGCCACTTATAAGAATTATCATTGAAGAGATTTCCTACAAGTCACCCACATTTTTGGAGTTTTTGGATAAGAACCTTGATTTTTTTACCTTGAATTTTGTGTGAAATGACATTTTTTTGGTTTTTTATATACTTTTTTTATTTTTATCTCCATATTCTTGATGTTGAAATAATACAGGGACTCATAAGAGGAGGTTCTTACTAGCACTACCGTTGTGGTGTTTCATGGTAGTTTTTAATTTGTAGAGTTGGCAATGATGTGACCAAAAGAAATGCAAAAAAAAAGGATGTTCTTATAAGTCGCTCCATCAGAAATGCTCTAAACTTCTTTACTGATTATGATTGTTAAACTTGGTGGTATATCTTCCATGATTTTCAGAACTATAGTTAGGTGTTTGGATGTGTGGTTTCAAAAGGATTAGTGTGACATTTAAAAGTTATAATTAGATAATAGATGATAGCTGCAACAAAGAGATTAGAATTAAAGGTTGTTAGGCAATCCTCAAATATCAGTTCTGTTGCTGCGACTTTTTTTTTTTTTGCATCTCAAAATCAGATTATTTTGTTCCCCGAAAACCAATTGATCGAAGCAAAAGAAAGTCTGTAAAACATTGCAAAACTGAATACTTGCAGCACATTTAAACTCACCTTAATCTTTTTTGCATCCAAACAGAAATGCAGTAGTGATTGTGCGAGATGCTCAATCTTAGGGTTATTTTTTCAAGGATAACCTTTGTTCACTGCCATATCTGATCATATTAGTTCACATTCTAAGGAAAGCGTTTGTTTTAAACCACCCAATGTGGATTTATTATTTGCGGTCTCATCAAGTCATCATGCATGGCCCCTTTCATGTGTATAATATTCTGGAGTGCAACCTCATACTAAGGAAAGAGTTGTCATGCTGAAACGGGAAACACATTGTGACTGTTTCCACCATGTATACATTGCTTCTTATGGTCTAGTGTGATTTTAAATTTTAGGAGAGAAGAGTATCTTCATGGTGCATGTCCAATTTTTTTTCGTGTCAAGGTGCTTTATTATTTCTTTGAGAGCATGGGATGCAACTTTTGGGGGATGCAGAATGAAGTTCTACCATTGAAATGAAACTCATCCCAGAAAAATCATTTGGACTAAAACAATTACACTCTTTCCCTTTTAAATCTACACAATTGAATTAAATAATAGACCATGGAACATCTCGAGAGATGAGAGTTTTGAGGTCTTCAAAATTGCAGCCTATTCAACCCTATAAACACAAAAACACACATAGAAAACTAACTGCATATCCCATATGAAACTACTGTTAAATACATAATAGGAACTACCTTAGTGGCTGCAATGAGGACATTTTCTGATTCTTTTGTTGATTTAAAATTGTTCCGTTATTGGTTTTCTTGTAAACATTGCTGCTTAACTGCAGATGGTGCGAGTTTGCAAGTATATGTCTTTGCACACTTCCTTGCTCCACTTTCTTATTTAAAGATTTGCGCATCAAATGATTTTTCCCCTGAAATTGAAAGGTTACGTAGGGTTGTGCACATCTCTAGTTTAGCTAGTTAAAGGATTCTAATAAGATGCCATCGATTTGTTGTCCATCTTTTTTCTATGCTCATATAAGTTTGAGCTCCACTTCATTGAACGACTGACTGTATTATGTGCGTAGGTTATAATTTATAATACAATACATAATTGAAACTTGAGCATCATTCAAATATCAAAACCAATATTATACTCCCCATTCATCCCAAAATAAGTGTCTACGTTTCTATTTTTGTTGGTCCCAAATAAGTGTCCAATTACAAAAGTAAGTTTCTACTTTCCATTTATCCTTAATTATGAGATTGAGGAATTTTTTACTCCTTTCTCATCAAGGGAACAATTGTCTTTTAGTTAATTAAAAAAGTATAATGATTACATATTCGTAAAAAATGTATGTCTTTTTCATTATGGACATTTATTTTGGGACACATGGACATTTATTAGAAGTGTCTTACCATACATGATATGAAGCTCTCGATTCTATATGATTCAACCGTGAAACATTTCATATCATGGGATGTGACCAATTATAGTGATTGGATGATCATGTGTTAGCATCAAAGATTCGTACCTGTTTGTGATTTTAGTGAAAATCACTGGTTCATTTTATGTAATTGGATTAACAAGAGAATATGGATTGTTAGTTAAGCTATAACATGGGCTAGGAGGTATGGAATATACACTCGTGTAAGTTAACTAAAACCCTGGGATAGTTGAGTGGCGCCATATGACGGGGCTCCCCTCTACTTATTTTATGAAGAGAGGTACTTGGAAAAATGAGCTTCTGAATGTCCCAAGTGAAATTCAGAAGCCTCTAGTCTTGTCCAGAAGCTCAGATGTATTTCGGAGTTGCCTTCTGATTTGTGTAGTAACTGCAGCACACCCACTAATTATTGCTGCAATCATTTTCATATAACGGGGAGTTATTCTCAGCTTTAATATTAGAACGGTTTTGATTTCCCTAGGCTTAAAAGGAACAATTTAGTTAATTTCGTGACACCCAGGCAGATTTGGGTCGAAATATAACTTAAGAAAAGCGAGCCTTCATGCGATCTCAATTTTTATCCAAGCTATATACTATTTGTTTCCCTCTATTCTTGAAATTCTACAATACTACCTTCCATTTCCAGTACTGAATTTATATTTCAGCCATGTGATGGATGGTTCCATAATTTGGTGCTGCTATTTCTTGAATGAATTACAGATAAGTAGGGAAGAGAGTGTTTGGTGGTTAAGATGGCTGGATTTGGTAGCCTTGCACCAAAGACCAAGAATCTGGTGGTTGCTGGTGGCTTAACAGGTTTTGTGTTTGGTGTCTATTTCTACACCATGAGAGCTGTTGGAGGTTCAGATGAGCTTCAAGTAGCCATTGATAAGTTTGAATCTCAGAAAATTGAGAATGAGCCAGCTTCATCAAAATGACCCATATTTTGTATGCTTTAATGTTTTAAATAAGTTTGCTGAATTTATTTCATTTTAACTTTTCAAAGAAACCTGTTATAAATTTGTTGGGGGAAATACGTGTTACAACTTTGTAAACAAAATATTATTTTCGAAAAGAATCGTTAACCTTTCTTTTTCTAGATATTTTGTTGTATATACCAAGATGAAACCTTTGAAAATAGGTTCTCAAGATACGTTTAGATATGCGGTTTGGTTTGAAAAAAAACGCCAAACTGGACGGTCTGGTTTACTGTTGAAACTGCCAAACCATGTATATATAGTATTATCTTCATGTTTTTTATAAATACACTTATCAACTTATTACAAGTTACAAGTGTTTAACTTTTTCAAAAACTTCTTATAAGTTGTTTGACACCGGTATAAGTTGTTTATTCAAATACTCAAAAATGCTTATTATCGGTATCACACCGGAATAAGTCAATAAATTATTTTTATAAGTAATCTCAAACATCCCCTATATATTCATTGTTCAGAATCATTAATTTTTTTTATTGAATCAGACATGTTTTTATCAAGTCTTAGGTTTTTTTTTCCAATGATATTGTTATTCACAATCCTACTATTCTATTGGTGTTTACGTGTTGTAATGCAATTTAACATGTGCTTCATATATCCATTCATGGGTTAATACGTTTAGAAGACGGGGTTGATCGGTAATGGTTTATGGGCTTAATAACCTGTATGTCTTTTTTGGTAAGCCACAAGTGGATGTTCGAATGTGGCTTATTCAATCCGGGTGACATTTAGATTGTATATTTGGTACAACAATTTTACAACAATTTATTTTATATTATATTATATGGACAACTAATTTAACCACCCCTTACCTTAAAAGTTCTATTTTAAGCAAACAAAAAGAGAGGAAAAGTCAAAGACCTTCCAGCCTAGTGGTAAAGGCTTGGACATGACATAGTCATGAACCTGAGTTCGAGCCCTGGGAGGGGAATGTTGGCGACATTTAAGTGGGGCCATGTTTAGCCTCCAAATTTGCCGGGAATTAGTCGGGCTTTGGCCCCGACACCCTTAAAAAAAAAAGAGGAAAGTGCTTAATTCATTTTATATTTTAAGCCAATATGGTTTATATTATATTTAAATGCTAAGAATTATGTGTTTTCATAAAAAAAAGAAGTGATTGAAAGAACAATGTTCAAATTTTAGAATTTACCATACGATAAACTTTTCATCGTAAACTCATCCTTATTTAGGGACTGTTCGATAACGACTTATTGAGCCATATAATAGATATGGCTGATTCGTACAGTCATACCTTTGTGTTCGATAAGAGCTTAGTAGGTCACATAGGGGCTGATTCGCTCAGCTAAAATACCACACTATATCTACTCAGCCATTACTTTTCCCCAACTACCTCTTTTCCCAACTACTCACATTAAATGAAAAAAAACTAAACATGCCGACCATCGTTTTCCATACAGCTTCGATTGCTCGTTGAATCCTCAATCTCACATAGCCTAGGTTGCTCCTGCTCACACAACTTCGATACACGCGAAGAGTGAGAGAGAGATTTTGACGAGAGATGATTCGGGCTGAGAGAGAGATTCCCCGAGAGGGTGACTGGGAGTTTTAGTTGTCGGCTTGGTGGGGCAGAGATGAGAGATCGATGAGCGAGATAGAGAGAGTTCGGGGAGACAAGCCGAAGAGAGGGGAGGAGAGAGAGAGAGAGAGATAAATGAGCGAGATAGAGAGAGTTCGGGGAGACAAGCCGAAGAGAGGGGAGGAGAGAGAGAGAGAGAGATAAATGAGCGAGATAGAGAGAGTTCGGGGAGGCAGCCATCAACAACATCGACAAACATCAACAACATCCCCTTTGGCCACCAGTTGACTTCCATTAGGTTTCAAGTTTTTTTTGTTCTTTCAAGTCTAACATCAATAATTTTATAACTTTTATAATTAAAATTCATGTACTCAATATTTTTATTAAACATTAAAAAAATATAGATTGGGGGTAAAATAATCATTTATGACATTCAGACAGTTTATTCAGCACGACAACCGAACAATAACTTATTTGTTATCATACAGACAACTTTATCCATACAGATTTTAATAGAAAACAAACCAAACAACTCTTCAAAATGCTTATGATTAATGAGAATTTACAGCTTTTCAGTTATCTCTACATGCATTGTTCTATTACATATCATCAACACAAATGCTCAGAATACATTGTTATTGTCATTACCGTCCACCTAACTCATTGTTATCGTCATTCGCTACGAAACAACTATTACTTTATTTGAAACTATTTTTCTCAAAATAAGAATACAAAAAGATTGCAAACAAAAAGAGAGGAAAGTGCTTAATTCATTTCCTGCATTTATATACTCTCCATTTTGACATCAGAAACCATTTCTTTATAACTATAAAAATACATGATAAGTTGCATAACCAACGATCAAAATAATTTGGATTGTAACTACTAGTAAACTGTTATAAATAAAAAGCAATCAGTTAAACAAGAATAAAAATTTAGGGGTTGTTTGACAGTTGCAGAATGATTAAGTGGTCAGAATGATTAAGAGGCTCTCATAATATAGTGCAAAATGAAATATAATTGTTTGGTAATTGTTTACAATAAAATTAGGGCGCTTAATGGTTAAAGGAGGCCTATGATGCAAAATCATTCAAATGGTTTTAGAACCATTAAGAGACGGACTTTTTTTTGCCAAACACGATTTACTTCTTAACGATTCAGATATTGCCTATTAATAGAACTATTAAGAGGTAAACAAACAACTTCTTAGTCATCAAGTTTCAAGCATCCATAATGAATGATGGGATTTTCACAAGAATCTCCACTGTGAAACAGAGGTTTCTTGTTTAGTCAAAGGTTCTTCCAGTGCTACGATTAAAGGTTTTATTTAACATATATTTGATTCATAACGTGTTTTTTCACATGTATTTCTTTCATAATGTGAACTTTTTTCGTGTTTGTGAGACAAAAAGTACATGTAAAAAAGTTTCACATTGTGAACCAAATACATATAAAACAAACACGTTATGAATCAAATGTATGTTTAATGAATGTCTTAATTCCTAGCCATGATTATTACAAGAAGATGCAGATTTTATTCCTCTGTAATAGGATTGATGGAGAGGGAAGCCTTCAACTTTGCAACCAGATGCGGCAACGCCTTGACGTTTTCTTCAATCGACTGGTTAACGCATGATTCCATATCCTTTGTCGCATCCGTCCTAATCTTTTGGAGTTTTGCAGACTCAAATTTGTCTTGACATACCATAAGTGATCGATTCAATCGTTCCTGTATGCAACAAAATGTTAAATTATCCACTGCAACAACCCGAATTAGAATCCACTTTTGACTATCATCAGGTGGGTAAATCTTTTAACTTCAGTAATCCAGAGATATTCTGGTTGCAGTTCTTTCTGATAACTTGCACCAAAACCGTAAAAACTTAAAAATGGAACACTCTGGAATTAGAAGACTAATATATCTTAGTTCTTGATAGATAACCGGTTTGGATGTACAAAACCCAAAACACACTCTATGGGTGCATTTGGTATGTGGACCAGATTGGACGGAACTAGATGGGCAAAAGTGTGGTATGCGGGGTAAAGAATTGTGGAAGGCTTTAGGGTTTTAATCTGACATGGGTAGTTTAGTAATTTAGCAATCTTGTCTAATCTCCCTATTTTTGTTCAGCCTATTTTGATGGGAGAGAAAAATGTATTTTTGTCTCACTCTGATCTTCCATGTAGCAGTCTTAATGTCGCACCCGAAACTTGGAATACTAAACTTTTGTATTGTCCTGTCTCACGTACCAAACAACCGCTATGAGAATAATCTTCCCCAACTTCCAACAGTTTTTCAAAATTAAGGGGAAAATATGGACTCTTGCTATGCATAGGGGCAGAACACCGAGTTGTGTAAAGCACATCCTGGGACTCTAAAAGCAAGGCACATCCTTTGTTGAAAATCACACATTATATACAACAGGAGGCAGAGACAGTTATTTCTTAAAATACATGTAAAAATAAAATATGCTTTTCATCAATCATACTACTATCACTTGATACCTTATGCATTTTTCAAGTCTGTAATACCCAAAACTATGGACACATAACCAGTCGCAAATGGTCCGTAAACAAGCGAAACAACCAATTATTCATTTAAGCCAAAGCCAGAAAAAACGTGCTTTTTACGAACCATTTGATCCCCAGTGGGAAGCCCTAACAATGTGGCATGTGTTTCATCACTCAAATGTGCTTTTCACAACGATGCTCAGAGGCGTGAAATAAAGTGACGCTGATAAAATAGAAGCAATGTCTTGCTAAATAGCGTCTTGTACAATGTGGTGCTTGAACATGTTATTGGACATTTTAAGCAGTAAGATCTTATTATCACTCGATTTTTTAAATTGATCTATCAGCATCAGTAAAGATAAAATGTAGGGATATGTCATATGATCTCAATACTACAAGGTCAGGACACACTTGATTTTAGTGAACAAGATATATTTACTAGATTAACAGAAGCAAAAAAAAGTTATGAAGTACCAGGCTGCATAAGTGCATTTGATACAAACATGGATACATAATTTACAATCACTGGTTCTAACATCACACCTTCAAAATTATTTGTTATTCAGTGACCTAAAATGATCCTAGAAGGTTCAACATACTCAAAGATGTAATATATCTGCAATTGCAGGTAACTGTGCAAGAAAAAGAAGATATAACGAAGCTGTTAGGACAACAGCGCACTATCAATATGAGAGATCCACCAGCTACCAAGAGTCATCCACACTATAGAGTATTAAGCACATAATTTTTGGAACTTCCAAACAAGGAACTTGCTCTCCATGGTTTTTCTTAAGAAGAAAAAATGCTTGCCATTTTGTATAAATTTCAGTGTTTCCTTCTGCAAACCAAAGGCCAGATCAAATATAGATGTGTGATAACGAAAGGAACTTGTGGCTGAGTGGAAAAAAAAAATCACCTAATCAACACAGAGATGGGGGTGTAGTGAAAAATATGTTAACACTGAAATCAAAATATCAAGGATATTAGATGAAGCAAGGGAACTCTCTGCATACATTGATCCTTTATGCATTTAACCACATAGATTGCGGAAGATGTTGAGATTTGTATATTGTATGCAGCAAAGACATGTTTCTTTCTATGCTTTCTACATTGTGCAGTGCGGGTGGATTTGACTCAAGACAGGTGAGTTTTACTTGTAATATAGTCCTCATACACCCATCACTATTTCACAAGCTTATGACCAAGGATCAAGAATCAAGGACCAAAGAGAAAGGATCAAGTTTTGTTAAAGCTAAAGCTGGATTTTAAAAATTGCCATCAATTCAAAGGTGGAGGAACAAAACATGCAAAACCAAAACATATCTAGGTTACACCTAACCGTAAAGGATCAAGGTAACTATCAATGACCAAGAAGCTTAACATGAATGATAAGGATCGGGATAAATTAGTTCAAGGGGATAAAATGTTAAAAGTTTATAAAAGGAGGGCTAAAAAGGGACAATCGGAAAGTGGCTAAGT